ATTTCCTGCTGGAAGCTTCAAGATTATGGCTTAAATTTTATAATAATGGCCCTGAAGTTATATTGTAAACATATTAATTTACTGTAAATCTATTGTAAATCCTACTCTTGTATACCTAATAAAGGTTAAATGAATGAATGATGCTATGTCACCATTCAACCAACACTTTAATCTGTTTCTGCATCATTTTCTATCTGTTTCGCCAATGAAGCTATAATTTGTCCTCTCAATGGTCTTACCTCTGTGTCTCCTTTGAATCTAAATTGAGCAGGACCTGAGGGATCAGACCCTCCAGATCAAAGCAATGACCAAACTGTGAGTTTTGTTAGCGGGATGAGCTAGCAGCTGCATTTAATAGATGAAGCCCTCTGAACATATCAGAAATTATTGGAGCTGCAGCCTTTCCCTAGGAAAATAATCACACTGAGATTCTTTGCTTCTGAAAGTGAGAAAGATAATATTTATTAACAAAAATACTTTGAGGTAAGAAAAACAAGGGAAATCCAGATTCAGACCTAGAGCGGAAATGAAGACAATGCTGTTCTCTTGAAACAAAGCCAACATATTTACTCACCAAGGTTGATCAAAACAGGTATGAAAAGAAGAAGGAAGTTACTACAGATATTGATATATTATTGTTGTTGTCATGTGCCTTCTAGTTGTTTCCAATTTATGGTGACTCTAAGGTGACTCATGGGGTTTTCTTAGCAAGTTTCTTCAGAGGGAAGTTATCATTGCCATCCTCTGAAGAAACTTGCTAAGAAAACCCCTGAGAGAGTGTGACTTTCCCAAGGTCACCCAGTAGGTCTCCACAGCCAAGCTGGGATTTAAACCTTAGTCTCCCAGTGTCCTTGTCCAATGCTCACACCACTACACCATGATGGCCTCATAGATTTAGAAGAAGGAGGAGGTGACTAAATATATGTATCTATCTATAGTCAGAAATATTTAATCACCTCTGTCTTCATCTCATATGATTTGATTTACAGGTATATCCCACTTTTTCTCTTAATATAGTTTGTCTGAAGTCTGAAGGGAGATCAGGATAGCCTAGAAGACACAAAAGGAAACTTCCCTTCATCTTTCTTTCTCCAGCCCATCATCCTTCCCCCCACAGACTGCAAACACAAATGCAGATATCTTCAGTGCAAGCTCGGTGTTGTGTCCCAAGACTGTCAGGTTTTTCAATTTTTGATTTTTTTAAGGAAAAAAGTCTCAGTTTTTTTTCTATCTTGAATATGAAGAAATGTGCACATTTTAATAAATTGTAATCAAAAGTATCTGAAATAATATGCTTACTCATCCCATTCTCCAACTCATTCTTTAGCCATTCTCCAACCAATAAGACTATATAGTGGTCTTCTTCACATCTTTATGGAAGCCTAGTACTCTGCTACAGCATGTGGACATATATATTTCCTTGTACCATCATGTCTTTACATTTTTATTCTATATCATGAGGTTTAGAAAAGAAAGGAGAACTAACTAACCAAATTATAGCAATTGTGACAGGACATGTGCACTCAGTCCATAATCCAGTACCATCAGGATTCTAATTGGGCACAAAGGATGCATCTAGCAATAGCAATAGCAAGTACATTTCTGTATTGCTTATTAAGCACTTAAGCACTCCTTAAGTGGTTTTAAATGTGTAAGCTAATTGCCCCCAACAAGCTGGGTACTCATTTTAGTGATCTTGGAAGGATGCAGGCCTGAGTCAAGCGTGAGCCCGTCGCTGGTATTGAAGCCACAACCTTTTGTTCATGAATCACAAGCAACCTATGGTTTGTGAGTGAGTGGCTGCAGTACAGGCATTTAACCATTGCACTCTTAATGATCCAAAATATGGGAAGACTTTGACTATTTCAGTTTCCTCGTCATCTATATTGAAATTGTGAATATCCTCCATAGTCATTATTTTAGTTTTCTTCATGATCAATGTAAAATCTGCCTTTGCACTTTCTTCTTTGACTCGTTATTCCAAGTCTTTTTTTTTATTTTCTGCTAGTATTATAGTGTCATCTGCATATCAGTTTGTTCATAGTCCTTCCTCCAATGTTCACTTCTCCTCCCTATGAATCTAAGCCTATTTTTCGTATGATATTTTCTTTGTATAAGTTGAACAAATATAGTGATAAGATGCATCCTTCAAGCTTATCACACCACACTGTTAATATGGGGCTAGTTCACTTTAAGGGCTCCGACTGCCTCCTGTTGCATTTTGGGGTTTGTAGTTCAGTGAGGCTTAAAGGCTCTCGAGCTGAATAGTCTAAATACCCCTTCCTAACTACAAGTTCCAGAATGCAACAGGAGGCAGCCAGAGCAGTTAAAATGACCTAGCCCCATTTTAAGATTGTAGTAGAGCTACTCCCTTCACAATTGGGAACCATTCTATTTGTCCATATTCTGTTATAGCTATAGCCTCTTGTCCTGAGTATAGACTGAGCATTGGACAATCAAATATATTGGCACACCTAGCTCTTTAAGTGCAGTCCATAGCTTTTCATGATCTATGCAGTCAAAGGCTTTCCTATAGTTTATAAAGCACATTCTGATTTTCTTCTGGAATTCTCTGATGTGCTCCACTGTGAGGCTGGAAACCACAGATCCCAGAAAAAGCTACAGCTGCCAAAGTGATGTCAAACTGCATTATTCCTAAGGTGTAGATGCACCCTAAGTTAGCACAAAATCTAATTTTGCTCATCACCTCAGGGTAATAAGAGCATGAAATGCACAATCTGTATAAGTTTTCTATTTCATAAGCAAAACACCTTCCCCCTGCTTTTGAAGAAATTACACTGTTTGAAGCAACATGCATTTCTGCAAGTGGCATTAAAATGTGAATCCGTGCTAAGGTTATGTCTCAACTGTTATCAGACGTTCATTTCATTTTTGCTTACTGTCACAGACAATTTACTCAAGAGCAGCATGAGTGTTATTGGACATAAAGATCTACTTGTACTGATCCACAGAATAAAAATCCAGAAATACACCCCTTGTCCCAGCTATAAAAGCTTTTAAAAAAATAGACATGTTTCCTTTTACAAGACTGCAGTATAGACATAAAGCCTTGTCAACAGACCTTTGTATATTGTAACTTGTTATTCAGTATAGTTTTTATATTTTCTTTCCATCATGTGGTTAATATTTTTACTGATGTTTATGTGTTTCTCCCTAATTTTTTTTTAAAA